GTGGCAGCGAAAGTTCCTCCATAGCAGGCAGCGTTTCCGCCAGGGCAAATCGAACGAACGCCAAGAGAACCATAGCCGTGTCCAACACTAGTAAAAAGAAAACCACCACGACCGAGACTCAAAAGAACGCTAGGATAAAGCCAACGCCATTAAGTACCAATTATTCGGCGACTCCAGCACGTTCCAAGCCGCGTACCGCGACTCCGAGGGGCATCCTGTGCAAAACACAGCCAACAACGAGGGACAGGGCGCGATCCCGGGAGAAATCTGCTGTCAGAGAGAATAGTAACGATAACACGACAAATAACAGTCGAGTGACGACGACATTCCGTTCAGGATCGAATTCAATGCCGCCACGAACGAGGACGAGGCCGATTCCCGATTCACTGCCATCCGTACTCACTACGGAAATCAACAAGGACTTGGCGCAGCGTGGCCGAGGTGGTCAGAGCGGTAGCTGCAGATCTAGAGGTGGGTCCAGCACACGTGGTGCACGCACGCCAAGTTCAACGCCGTCCGAAGAGTTTCGAAAACCTCTGTCCACCCCTAGGGTACCTTACACAGGTCGTGCCGAAGCTTCGAAGGCTTCTAGACCGGATAAGATGACCACGAGTATGGATAACAAGGCGCTGGATACGTACGCCACGTTACCTAGAAGGAACAGGAATAAAATAAGTATCGCTAAAGTCAGTGAAAAGACGGACAGGACTATCAGAAGTAGATCTGGAAGTAGAGACGCGAGCCTGAGTAGACAACAGATGGAAAAGAAGACCACAGCCAAAGATTCTTCGGGGCACAAGAGTCTGCCGCCATATCCTAGGCATAAGACCGTGGAGAAGACGCGTATTTACCACGAGACCAGCGTGCAAACTGGTCTGACCGGTCACGATATTGAGAACGCTTTGTCCGGGGTGCCGAGCGCTGTCACTGGCCCGGAAGTGGTGGAGAGACTGCACGAACAATGTCAAACGGAGGGCACGTGGGAGGACATGCACGCGATGCAGACCGACTTGAAAAGGTTAAACGAAGAAACGTCGCAGCAAAAAGAGGAGAACGAGAAGCTAAAGTCTGAGATCGTGGAAGTGAAGCGTCTTCTCGAAGAAGAGCAAGCGGATCACGCGTTTGCGCGACAAGAATTGGATAGAAACGCGCAACGGGTACTGGCGATGCTTGGCACGCCTCAATCAGAACATGCAGGTAGTTATTAAGATACTTAGGTCGAAGTACTGTATCTCTCTCTGCTCGCACTTACTAGATTGAGCAATTATGGCTTGGTTTTAGAAGGCAGCGATAGCTTCCTAGAGCTGGAGTGTCATTTGCAATCTTCTGGTCAAGTAGTTGCTAATCAACAGTTGGAGATAGCAGATTTGCAGTCTCTGTGCCGTATGTTAAGTAGGGTAGGTTATATTATTCTTCTAGCGTTGCTTTTGTATCGTGGCTCGACTATTTATTTGTACTTGTTCCTTCGTTATATTTGATTCGTTCATGAAGGATTTGGAGAAAAGCTTGGCTGCCCAGAAGGCATTGTTACAACAGCAACAGGAGCTGGAAGCTGAGTCGGCAGAGATGCAAGATTTCCTCCAAGAAGAGAAAGCTACTTTGGCGGACGCTTTAAAAGAGGCGGAAACAGAGGTGGTATATTCTTGATACATAGATACAAAGAGAACCAGGAAGCGACCGACGAACACGTTAGTATAATTTTCCTTTTTAATTCGTAGCTCGCGAAAAAGGAGGAACTGCTAACGAAACGCGAGTTGGAATTAGAGAGGCAAACGGAGGAATGCAAACATTTAGTGCGAATCAGCGAACAACGAAGGTAAGTATTTACACAGGTCAAATATATCTTGAAAAGTTTCCCTAGACACGAGTCTCTTTACTAAACATAGTGTTTCGACATACGTTTCTAGACAAGAAAATTTATCTATGAGCATGAAATTAAATGCAGTCGAACGACGAAGCAGGGAACTCTTACTTACACAAGGCGCCGCCGTTTCCGGAGCTGCGGTTGCGCTTTCCGGTCTTGGAACTAGGCTAGAGGGATTAGTAGACCAGCTGATAACATCCTATAGTATCTCAGTGAAAGACCTTGAAGTAATATTCCACCATCTTCCTTTGTTACTCGTTTCTTTTCTCTTTACCATTTAACGGCATCTAACAATTTCATTTTGTAGGATGTGATATATCACAATGAAGCATACAGTAGAAGCAATAGTAGCATTGAATCGAGTCCTGTTAGCTCTAAACATAGCCTGAAAGAGTGTACACCTAGTCCAAAAAGCGGTTCCTTCGTTTCCGCGGTAATTGGAGCAATCCGAAACGCGGCAACGCATCCTTTTGCAACGAAAAACACCGATAAAAAATCTACCTTAGAATCAGCCAAACAAATGTACAAAGGTATAATATTGTAATTTAAATTTAATCGTTTGAGAATGGTTACCAACAGCGAGGAATCTATTAATCGATGATCAAAGACATCGTGCAACGATAACGGCCTTGTCCTATGTAATTATTTAGAATTGAGCATGGAATCATCGTCCGACTTACTCGATTTCGAAACCGAGCCATGCCTGATGATGGAAAGCGTGTTAGAGGATGTTCCCCTGCCCGATACATACTCGCATAACATGGTATCGAGTAGCGACTCGCTTCGCAGAGCTTTGAGTTTTCCGGAAACTGTGGACGAGAGTAATCTGAAAAAGACGCGCACCAACGAGGAGTGTTCGAGTCTTACGAATCTCACGCAAGCTATTTTACATCGTCGTAAGGTATAAATAGAAAAATATGGAGAAACAGTTGTGAAACGACAAAGACCGTAACGACGGATTATCAATTGAAACTTGTATAATTATTCACAGGTTGAAAACGAGGAAGACGATGATTGTGACTCTATCAGTGAGTCAGACACCGGCACCAATGAAGGCCCATTGGCTTCGGATTATTGTCCCGCTGTTGGTCTTGTCGATCAAGTAATCGATGTAGATAACCTCGTCACGAAATTATTAAAAGTATTACGAATAATACAGCTCGATAACGACACGTGCATTCAGGAGCTGAAAGAAGAGAAGTAATTTCATATTTCTTTGCTGTACACCAAGGCACGCGTATAGAGAACACTGCATAAATACATAGTGATTTGCAGATCCGAGTTAGAAACGAAATTGGAGGTAACTGTAACGGAATTAGAGGAATTGCGTAAAATCGTGGACAGCTTGCATCAATCGGACGAAATTCTCAGCAACACCTCTGACAGAAGACGTAGCGTGATGGAGAACTGTCGTCTACTGATCAAAGAGGTAATAGCTGGTGACGTTACCGATACATATCTATAAAATGTTTCTGTTGCCGTTTTAAGAATTTGTTAATCAACGATTGACTTTTTAAAAAAGATGTCAAATGGAATAATTCCTCTATAGGCGGGTAAGGAGGAATTAAAATTTGACGAGCCCGCAGTTGCTAATAATAGTGGAGGAGCTACGAACTGCGAAGATCTCAACGCGAACGCAGCGGCTCAACCATCTTCCTAAACACGTCTCCTCTTACTCTTGTTTTCCTTTTTCCCCCCTTCTTTCCTTTTTGTTGTCGTCCTTTATTTCTTACGCCGTGTATCATTACTGATTCCATTGTTTGCATAATTGTCCGTTGTTGATGCCAAAACGGGAGCTGCGTAGGAAAATCACCCTAATGCGTATCGTTTGGGGGAATGAGAATCGAGCTAAACTGGCGCTCGACGATGTGTACATGCAAACTTTTCTCGGTGAATCACGTCGAGATGATTAGCTAATATGGTAGTCCATAAATTTTGCGTGTGTCGAAGTCGTGTACAGCTTTCTCCGTGCCGTCATGTTATGGAAGGTATTCGTGCGTATTGCTTTAGTATATTTTATCGTTGAGAGACGTATAATCCGTGTATATAATAACAGTAAATCTGTCCTCATAATTTCAAAATTGATATAGTCGATAATTCATGATCCGATATCGTAGTCGTACAACCTCTGGCTTTCTTTCAGTCGGAGATTATAATTTAAATATATCCTTTTGAATCATTGCCGTTTTTGCGTATAACATGGTCGAAACAATAGTTAGTTATCTCGCGTTAGGATTACTCGCGATTAATCGCTTTAAAAGAAAAGAACAAAAAAATTACGAAGCATAGACAAATTTGTTAAGGATACTTAATTGCGATAACAAATGAATTTCCTTCTCGTGCCCACCGAATTACATTTTATCCTGCTATTAATGACGAACCATTTTCTCAAGAGTATTAATTCTTATATACATACTTAGAGAGGAAAGCAGATAGGTTGTAATGTACCTTAAAGCTCCGTTCATCGAAGTTTACAACTCATTTGAATCTTGGAAACAAAAGTAAGGAACGAATGTGTAATCTTCAAAAGTAAAATGACAGGGTACATTAGGTTTACGATGCACTACATAGTGATGATTGGCGCAATTAATATATTGTCAGATATGAATCATTCGAATGGAACGACACACGATGTTGTTCTTAATATTATTTGATTCGTCATTTGTCGATATTTAAATATCCTTGCCGTTCCAAACGTGATTACAAACATGGCCGGGAATATCTTTTGTTCGAACATTTTCATAAAAAAGAAACGAAGAACGGAAACACGGAAAGATATAAATATTTGTCGCAAATTATTCCCGAGCACCGAAATGATGAAAAAAAAACAAAGAAAATACACACGTTACATACAGAACTGCTTTCTATTTTAATGGTGAGATATATTTGAAGAACATATTCTTGTACACGCTTCCATAAGTCACAATTATTCATCGTGTAAGTTTCGAAAGCATTGTATATACATATATGTAAGTGAACATCGTGTAACTTACGACTTTATTCTAATTGCGTTTCAAACGATCGGTCCTTTTTTTATATAGGTTTCCCTTCGTTCTTTTCCTTTAATAGTAGAAATTACCTTATTGCAAAGATCGTGTGAAAGTGACTTTTTTCTCTCCTCTATCTTCTTTTTTACTTTTTTTTTTTTTTTAATGAAATAAACGATTCCACCCAGATGATATATATTCTGAAAATCATAGTCCTAAGCATTTTTTATACAAAGTATTGTGATGATATACCAAAAAAGAACTCATAAATAATGTATTTTAATTTTTAATCAAATAAATTTCGTTTCGATAAGAATCCTGTATCGTATGTTTACTTGAGTATACAATTGTTCGTGGAGGGCTCGAGTATTGGTTCTATGCAAAGAATAATATTCAAAAAGTTACAAATAACCCATCTAAACCTCACGTCGTTCACAGGCTCGTGCGATATTTACCTTCTTGATATTTTCTCTTCGTGTTTTTTCTATAAAATATCTGCCCAGTTCGTTACAAGCAAGATTAAAAATAAATATAATCTTAAGATAAAATGAATAATCAGTTAATGTCGATGTAAAGGACAGAGAGTGACAGTAGGAATGAGACAAAGGGTCGATTGTCAAAAAATATCGATGATAGGATAAGTACATTTTACGCGAATGTCTTGCAGCGTTTCGTGTAAAAGACAGCGTTCTTCATTCTTGGCGAAAACGACGTAACAACGGAACTAGCAAATTCGCCAAACGCAAACCAGCCCTAAAAAATAAAGGTACTATATCAGTTTGATAAATTAAAAAAAAAGTGCATTAAAATAAAGGAGATAATATACAAATATGTACAATAGCATTTTACATATCTATCAAAAGTAGTATCATTGTACAAGAATGACACTGCATCTTTTCAAAAATGAATAAGAAAATAAACATCGATTATACGTAATTGTTTAAAAAGAAAATTGTTGTTTACAAAGTCAAATTCAAGGCAAAATATTATAGTATCACGTCGGTACCGAGTGAAACTTAAAAGTTGGAAAATACCTGTGAGTCGATTTGGGCGCCGGTGACGGTTTAGAATCGACTTCCGGTTTACTGGATTGCGGCTTTGAAGAATCAATTATCGGTAAGTTAGGTTTATTATCGCCAGCAACACCGGCTAGGAGGAGCGTCTCGACGGGTGCGACGACGAATACCACGCCGTCCACGTGGATACGGTAATTCTCAGATCCGTTTTGTCGTTGATCGTAATAATCGACCGTAGAATTGTAGGAAGGCGGTGTCGTCGGGCTCGATGACTCCACGATCGATGTTTCATTCGCAATCGGTAAACACTGAGCAACTCTGTTAGAGCCTAATGCGGCGAGTAGCAGCACCGTTTTGAAGATCCGCATGTTGATCGATAGCATCGATGTCTGTTTCTAATAATTGACGTAAATAAATATCAGAGGTTATATACGTATGCGTGTGTCCTAAACCAGATCGTTGACGAAACCCCTTCTACGACCACGCTCTCGAGTTTCGTCGATTCGTCGAGCAATCACGAGAAACGAAATTACTGATGTTTTGGAATTCTCGCCTAGACAAGGTAAGTGTGACACGCGACGAACGATCGATCGAGGAACGATCGAAAATACGAAAAGGACTTATAAGTTGATTTTTGATGAGAAAAAACGATGCCCGTGGCGTGGTAGCGTGAGCAATGAACGTCTTGACGATGCGGAGGATGAGCGAGGTGTGACGACGTCTCCTGCCGACCGGCGATCCCGGTCCCCACCTGGCATGGAAACAGATCGTCAGGCAAGTTCAAGAACCTGGGGCCACTGTGTACGTTCTGTTGCATACATACCCAGGTAGAACGTAATCTTGGTTGGAATTGATTTTTCTGCTCGGACGACGTTGATATCTCATTCTACTTTACTTTAGAATTATCTATATTATGTTTCAGTTGTCTGTCCTAAGGGCGATTTGAACAATAAATTTCAATCAACACCAGATTTCTCTTACACGATAACATACTAACCATGAAATGATATTCGTGAATTTGCAAGTTACGTGTCGTAGCTCGTAGAATTACAGAGAAACAGTTTCTACAATTTTTTGAGCTATATTCGTTAATCGATTAGTACCACGTTCTTATTGTTAGAATATACATACAAGCACGCTTATATTACGAAGGCATCGATAGAAAGGCGAAGATTAAATACACGGTAAAAGAGGTAATAAATATCGGCATTTATACTTTTACAGGATATAATTAGTTGTTTATTGTCGTAATGAAATATGTCATTTCGTTCAACCTCTTTAAGACCCGTTACGTTTCTTGTTTCTTTTTAGGTCTTGATTAATCTACGTAATTCTATTCAAGAACAAAGTTCGGTTGGTAAGAAGAAAAACGAAACCACTGGTAGCCGGTTTGCTCCCGAACTTATACACACTCTTTCGTGCGTGAAATATACCGAACGTGCGTGTTTCTGTCGGTGCGCACGCGAGCACCTACCCACATACACAAACGCGCGCGCGCGCGTGCATACACGCACATATACGGGACCGATTTGTAAAGGGCAACGGCCTCGTATGGCCCCACCGAGTTCATTTCCCCGTTTCTCTGTCTCAGCCGCCGCTTATTACCGTAACCTTGCCCTTGCTCTTACATTTCCGCCATGCTCGAACTTCGAGGATTGTCTTCCTGGTTCGCCTTGAATGGCGCCTACCGACGAAAGCTTATAGAAGATCGGAATCACTTGAACGCGACTGAAATTCAAACGTTCCAACTTGAGACTACAGATAAGAGTCAATAGTTTATCTATTGAGATAAGCAGAGATAAATTTTCATCGTCCGAGGACATTCTGTAAGGAAGAACATTCACAAAATTTTAGGTAAGACTTGACACATATTTTGCAGGATCTTATTCTAGGGACAAAAATAGTAGACTTTTGTTCGTGTGTGCGTGTATATTTATCTCTTCGTAAGCATGATACAATCCTACGATATATTGTAGATGTAAATAGTACAAACGTAGAAAAAGATAGAATAGCTTTCAGTGTATATATAGTTCGGTTACGAGATCAAAGTTTGCGCTTGAATTTTTCATATAATCTCTTTTACATATTTTCCTGCCTTTTATACTTTTTTACTACCTTTTTTTTTAACTTTTAACTATAGTATACAAATATCACAATCGTCATATAAATAGATACTCTTAAATGGAACTTATATACCTCCTACTAAACAGAATGAATTTTAATTAAAATTGTTGTCGTTCTGACAGACACCTAATTTATCCCTATATCTTCCAGGTCCGCAATTCTCGATACCGCCTCCCAACAACACTAGCTCCTGCTCCGCCAACTTGTTGCCCAATTCGTTCCTTTCCTCAGATATCGAAGGTATGTCTTCCTCCTCCTTCTTCGACAATTGTTTCTTCAACGATATACCCGGCCTCGCTGCTTTCAACACCTCCTCTTCTTTAACCGGCAGATCATCCGAATGGTCGAGGTTCTTCACTTGCGAACTTCTAACGTTAGTAGACCTTTTATTTCCTTTTATCGAACTATCAACGAGTCCACGATGTTCTTCCGTATTCCACAGACTTCTAGCCCTCTTTACCGTCTTTTTACCATCGATAGACACCTCTTGCAAACCAGGCTCAGAATTTTTAGAATCCATCGACGATGTTTCTAATTCAGTTTTCTCTGTGTTTTTAGCGTCAGACGTCTTGTCGGTATGTTTACTTTGAGCCGCGCTATCTCCCTCTTTCTCTATATGAACGATCTCGACGTGGTAAGGCTCCCTCCCGCCATCTGCATCTTCTGTCTCATAAACCATCGTTTCAGATGGCTTGTCCGCGGTCTGTTGCTTGCTGCGTTGCGAGATTAGCTCGTTTAACTCCAGCGCCTGAGTAGCCAGGTTCTTGAATAGACCACTGCTACCGGAAGTAGCGACGACCACCAAAAAGTTTTCAAACTTCGCGTCCACATTGAAGTCACCGTCTTGTCGCTGGTCATACGTGGCTGGAGCCGCGTTTGTTCGCGGAATTAACGATTTCGATAGAATGCCTGCAAAATTACACGAAGATGATAGAGCATAAAAAAGAATTGTTCCAGTTTCATATGTAAACATCGGAAAGAGTCATTAATTTACAAGTAACTTAGAAAGCTTATCCGAAGGAGTGGAAGAGCAACATGTAATTATATCAAAATATATGAAAATTAAATGTTAAGAAAGGATCTATCTTACGAAGAAATCTGTAGTACGATGTAGTTGTATACGTCATTCTACCTGGTAACAGGATGAGGCACGCAACGTGCAGTAGCATCTTGGTGAAACCCTTTTGGAAGCGTCCGCTCGAATCAGCCGAGCTGAACGAAGTCCGATCCTCGACTGTGCGAGAGATTCGTCCGCTTCCTTGGCAGCTTTGGATCGCCGGCGTCTTCTATATAGATCGAGGGAATATCACTGCTGGGAGAGGGTAAGAAACGTCTTGTATGCCTGGCAATCGACTTACATTAGATGATTATGAAGCGACTACCATCCGCCAAGACCGCTCATGATAGTACTGCTTCTCGCACGGTGTGTAGCTTCTTTCGCACGACTTTATCCCCCTCTACGGATTAAAAGAAGGAAATCGAGCAGTTCTCGCAAGAAGTTATTGTACTGACTGTATCGTGCGTGTTTCTCAGGCACGTCATTTTAGAATTCATTTAATAGCACGTTCCTTCGAGAAGGATCAATCCATTAGATATCTCTTCGTACATTTTTGGATAATTTTAAAGAAATTACACTCGAAATGTTAATGCAATGTACAAAAGGTAAAAGTATGATTCTCAAGCTTCAAAAGAAAGATGAAATTTTATGACAATAACTCTTAACCTTTTTATCTATTTTTAGTTACTGAAGAAAAAATGGAGGCTTAATTATGACGGATGGAATTAAATAACATTAATGTTGATAATACTATAGTAATGGCGACGATAGACGATAGACGATAGACGACGTTCGAGAATGACAACGTATTACGTAATTCTACGATATTTTTATTCCCTTGATCAGAGAACACCGGAGCGAGCAGGCGTACAAAGAATTTGTTCGCTGCTCAGGATCGTATGCTGTTCGTATCTATTTACTTATCTTGATCTGTAAAACTTCGAACGAGGTTCCCTCGTTTCTTAAAGATTCTTTTGATAGGAATCTCTTTATATTCTACAGAATCAATCACTTGAAAAGTATCTTTTTTTTTTTTTAGGAATATCTTATAATTTGAGAAATTATTCCACAGGATGTTTTATTCAACATTTAAATGAAATAAATCATTCAATATGCATACATAAATTTATTTATTACAACAATTTTATAACCCTGTTAAGTATAATTGTTTCTTATATATATTATTATATACAACGGCTAAGGAAATTATGGCCGAATAGAAATGTAAGATGGGACATACGTAACTTAACATAAAGCCGAATTTACACTCTTTCGCTTTGTGTGTTTCGTTTTACACTTGTTGCAACACTGCTTTCATCCTCGTTTCATCTGCGGATGAAAGCAAGTGTTCATCTACCGTGTTCTTCCAATATGAAACAATGTAAATTCGACTTAAGTCACACGAGGAACATGAGGCAACTCCGCACAATCGCACAGGATTCATCGAATATTCATGGCACGGCTCAGTTTAAGTGCATTCGATCGTCTTCCTCCTGCGCCAAATTCCTTGCGCTGCGCCTTAGATCGTCTAAAAGTTTTGATGGTAATCTCATCGTCAATCTACAAGAAGAAAAGAATAAGAAAAGAAAACGAAGAGGATTCAAATCTACTGTTCGTTTGGAATTTTTTTTTTTATATCTCATGTTTATATCTTCAAACTCTTATTGCAACTTTATATACAATTTTAATTTCACAGTTTGTAACCTCGTTAATTAGTTTGACTAATTAAATTCGCCAATTTTCTATTGCATGAAATATACATTTTAATGTTTCCTGCTTTCGTAGTACTTACGGAATTAACGATAATTTTCGTTGACTCAAACGACGACAACGACCCTTGCCATCCGGTGAATATCCTAATTTGCACCGTTTTCTAGACAGTCTTTTGGACGGATTCTCCGTGGATGATTCCCAGTTATCATGCTTCGTTGGATTTTCCTTCTTATCCTCAAAAAGGTTCCCAATTTTGTCACTTAACCTCATTCTTAGTATACTGCCGTCACTAGTTGAATTTTCTAAACTTTCAGTTGACGAACTAGCTAAGGTTTCGTTTGTTTTCTCATCGTCCACTGGTAGAAGAGTTTCCGCGTTTTCCATGGTAGAATTTATATTTGACTCGCTGATCGAAGGGAATGTCGAATTTTGAGAGGAAGAATCGGGTGTTTCGGAGACATTGATTTGCTCTAACGGAACTGTTTCGGTGGTAGTTGTAGTACTGGTGGTGGGCTTGACGATCGGTTTCAACGTAAAGTCGGCGTAATCGTAGAAATAATCGTATTCCTGTAATTCAAGATCGTGTTAATTTACTTAACACTACTTTCTTCATATCCTAAAAACGCGAAGATTTGCTTAAATATTTTTTACGACTCCCTTATCCTTTACTCCTCCACCCTTTACTTTAAATCAATGTTACCACGTACTACCGTAAATCTCTTAAGTCTAGATGCAACATATTTATCACATCGTCAATAAAGATAAAAGTCAACGATGATAATAATAGTTCTTGTTATCGCGTCATCTGACTGTACCGCTTATCGAGGTACATTAACATCCAAGCGGGAACATCGCGACCGATAGTCATCGTTTTACCGTGTAATCGTCAAGCATCTCCGGGTCCAACAACGCCACCACTTGCACATCCTTCAGGTGGACTTGCACGTTTAGATCACCGGTTTGTCGTTGATCATAGGTCGTCGTCGGTAAGGACAGACCAGTCACAACGTGATAAGCGAACACGAGGAGGAGGCCGTAACGCGGATACATGACGAAGAGGACCGTTTTGCTTCGATGGGCCACGAAGCAATGGAAAAATGCACGAGGATCGTCGACGGGATTGAGACTGACCGGGGTCCGGTTAAAAGACGGCGTTATACCGATGCTCTACCTTGATATAGTGGTCAGTACACCGAGAAACCGGTATTCTTTGTCGCCGAACGGTCATGAGAGCCTCGAGCACAGTGGCCGGACATTGGCCTCATCGTGTACCGATATACCAGGAAAGCGTGCACACACGAGAATGCAAAGCAATTCCGATTTAAATATTAAAACGCTACTCTAAACGTCTCCCATAGCCTCGCGGGAACGGTATACGCGTATAAAGAGGACAAATAAAGATCTTGCTACAGCGGATGGTGGGATTCCTTTTATATCGGTCGCGTAACGTTGTCCAAAGTTAACGCAATTAAATTAGGGGACACATTGTTAAAACGGAATACTATCGGTAGGTATCAAATCGTACACTCTTTGCAAAAATATTTCAAGGTAAAACGAAGATAATACATCGAAAAGGAAATGAGCAAAGAAAGTATAGCTCTGAAAGAAGTATTTGATGAGAAACCATTGGGCAGAGTATAGTATTTAACATTGCAAACTGTATTTTATAATATAGTATATTACAATATTACTATATTATATTTATTATTGTAAAAATCACTGGTTAATGATCTCTATAGGTCGTAACTCCCTCGCGATTCACTCGCAACTGTCTCGCTACTCACTTGCTACTCCCTCGTAACTCCCTCGCTACTGCAACTCTCAAACTTTAGTTTCGCAACTGACTAACGACTGCCTTTTATTCCACGGTCTTGTTCCACAGATTTGGATGACTCGTGGTCAAATACACTTTTTTCAATTACCTAATATCAAAAAGGGCTACAAGTATATGGCCCATCGGAATTTCCCATTTTTCCATTGCTTTTCATCTGTAGTTCATCGGGACTTTCCCCAGGATTTTTCCCTAATACTATAGATATACGTAAGTAAATAAAAGATTGGTTCGTAATGATTAATCATTGCCGTTAATTATTACTGTAGAATATTTAAAATAAACATAAACATAGTAATTTTTACGTTACACGGGAAAATATTGCAAAGATGTCAACGTTCCTTAATTTACGATACGCGAATAACACGGTACATATAAGATGAACGGTGTATACCGTAAATGAAAATTACTGCGACATAGTTAGAAATTTGTTATGGTAAATTACAAATTTATTACGGTAGTTATACGCACAGATCATAAAGTCGTAACGATAGTAAAGCGCGTTAGGATGCGCTACGCGGATATTTTTGATTGTGACTTTATCCATTATTGTGAAACCGCAGGAAATAATCGTGACCCGATGAATATAAACTTTCTACGAATGAGCAACATGGCAGCAAAGAGGCGTTAGGATGATACTAGAAATAAAAACGATCGATTACGCAAGTTCGGTGTCATCGATGTGTCTTTCGATGTTTTGATTCACGATCGTTTTTTAATGTGCGACGTCGAATCAACAAATGCCGCGGACATGCTTCGATTGGTATCGATATAGAGATCCTGAATGGAACCACGATGACAGTAATGAAGACTGGTTGAAATGTCATGTGCTGTTTTATACGCACAACCGAAGAAGTTCACCGTGTCGTTTTCCTAATTCAGTGCTTAGTGCTTGGTATCGTGTTCGAAAGGAACCCACGCATAATTTTCGCCCATTACAAAATAAAAGTTTTGCACCAGGCATCGAAACATTATTATCTACTCCTCTGAATATTATATCGCGTCGTTTATCATGTTTCGTTGTGACGTAAACAATGTTCCAGTTTTTTAAAAAACCTGGTAAATATGTTTTGATGTTTCACTGATGAAAGGGTTGCTCGATAATTACATCGTAGTTAACCTAAACGCAAAATATTTGTGTCTTCGTCTTTCCAATCTTTAAACTCTGCTTTCCTCCGCATGTTTCGCGTCTTCATCGAAAATCAAAATATTTTTCAAGTGTATACGTATTAATAACATTTGCCGGGGTTGTAATTGCAGGACAAAAAGACAGACCCAGATCTTTCCAAACTTCTCCCACAAAATCAACGAGCTCTGGGAAATCATTCGGGGATGTATTCAATAGTGGCTCTTCGATTCAAACATCAACAGATGCATTGTGCAGCCTTGAGGAGGAAGAGGAGGATGAAATGTTGAATGGCGAAACGGAAGAAATATGTTCCTTCAACTCTCAGCTTTCTAAGACACTTCCACAGATACTTGCAGACAAAGGTGCTCTAGGCTATTTCATTCAGTTTATGGAAACACAGAATTGTATAGCACTTATTAAGTTTTGGCTGGAAGTGGAATGCCTGTGCAGTTCGTATAATGTATTAGAAAATACGACGGAGAATATCGAATGCTTAAACTGTGTAAAGAATACAAATAGTATTTCTAATTCGATAGACAACAATGAAAATTTCCAATGTGATGTGGCACAGAATAATATAAATAGTCATGAAAGTAAGAAACTACTATTCGACGAATATGTAAATAGTAATGATGTGAAATCAAATTGCAACGATTGCATGCCAAAGACTAGTCAAACCATAAGCAAAATGCGACAATCAAATCACAACTGCAGAAGAAGAAATATGACTACCATTAGGCAAGATGTGTTAAGAATTCATAAAAGGTATATTACTAAGGATACTTTGGGTACGAATCAAATCCCCGAAGACCTGAAAATAAAAATGGAGAAAGTTCTTACCTGTGAAAACATTGAGCCTATGTTGCAGTGCCTATCAGCTGTTCAAAAGATTGTATATCAAACATTAGAAAATGAGTGAGTATAAGAACTGTGAAATGCTTATATTATTTATATTTTGGAATTTAAATGCAATTCTTTCTAGACACATTAATAACTTTTTACGAAGTGAATTTCACTGCAAACATCAGATTGATGTTCTTACAAGCGGCAATGTACAGTTAGCAGATATATTGTACAATGAAACGGCATTCTTTTATTTTATGGAGTTTATGGAACTTGAAAATAAACGTGAATTATTAGACTTTTGGATGTCGGTCATGAGCTATAAACAAAATTTATTAGAAAAAAAAGATACTGCAGATCCTGAGGAAGCACAAACTGATGCTCTAATTATTTATGACAAGTACTGATTTACCTAACAGTTTCCTTCTTTTATGATTTTTTAAATAGATCAATAACGAGGTCATTGATATTATCATTGTTGAAATCATTACAGGTATTTTAGCTTACAAGCAACGATGCCCCTTGGTTTTAGCGATAAAATTCGTTTCCAAGTCGAACAGAACATTTGTCGCGAAGATGGAGAAGGGCCACAACCCGATTGTTTTGATAAACCTTGTAGAATTGTATATAATTTTCTGAATAAGGTAAAGATACTGTGTTAAAGTAACAAAAAATGCTAGCACTCCTTCGGAACCATTGCTATCAATAAGATTCAGTGGCTTCAACTTTAGATAACAGAAAATTCTTTTCCAGTATTATCTACCTACCTTCTTATCATCTCAGTTATATTACAAATACTTATCAGAATTAATCAGTACTATACAAAGCAGTCCATGTTCGAATTTACATCCTAGGCTAAAAAGAGCAGGTGTGTGTTGGTTTACATTTATCATACTCTATGTAATCGATAGTGAGATAAAAATAAAATGATTTCAACAAAATTTTTAAATATCTGTAGGTTCTGATTGTAGTAGTGAGGTCAGTTCTGTTAGTATCAATATGCAGAATACCCTGCAGGCAGGGAATGAAGGAAATAAATTGAACAATAATAAAAAAATTACTGGTGGTATGAACATTGATACCAGACAACTTTATGATCCAGATTCCTTATGGAAACGTAACAAATATAGGTAATTATAAAACAAAAATGCTGTGCAATATAAATATTTTAAGATATATCTTGTTTATTTTATAGTTTGAGCGTCGGTTATATTGATTCGTTAGGCAGATTCGTTACTGAGATAGATCCCGACCCTCAAAGAAAATACGGTGAGTTATTTCGATCAGTTACCTTGAATGTACAACGTGAATTGATATAATCGTTTCAAAACAATTTTAGAATCTCGATTAACACGTGCTGTAAAAAGGCTTGTAAATATGGAGCAGGATAAGGTAAATTTCACGCTTATCAGTAATGTTTATGTGACATTTAACGCATGACTTCTAATTTTTTTGTGTGTGTGAATCTAAATTAAAATCGATATAATTAGGCCAAAGAGGAGTTAGCATGGAAGATTGCTGAGATGATCGTTCGTGAGATCACTTCTTTGACTCGAGGAGCTTCGAATTTTTCATCTTGATGACAGACGCTAGGTTCGACATCAAGTCATTTCTTTTTTACGTAATATACTTTGCGCTTTAAGTGTTTTAAGGTAAATATTCTGTTTAACATTGTGTATGTTTTCTTAATTTTTTATAAAACGACATCGCGTATTCCAAGTGCCAAATTGCGTAATGATAAACCTAATTATTTTACTTTTAAATATAGCAATTGAAAAAGGAGTGAGTTCGTATCCATAAGATTTAATATATTTATTTGCTTTTCGCAACACGTTTAGAACACACGTGTATAGTATCAAATTTATTATAAAATGCACATGTATATTTTCTACGTTTATAAGAATTCTTTTGAAAAAATAATTTTTTATTGCGATATTATTTCACTTTATTCTACACACTCGTGATAAGTCTAATAATTTCGGGTTTCATAAAAATAATAAAAAAATTATTGCAGTTGAAAGAAACAGATAATAATATCACTGTAAATAAAATACAAAGGTCTCGTTTATATAATGCATAATAGCAAACCGTACAAACGAAAACAATAATTTTCAAGTGCTTTAACTTCATACTCTTTCTAATGTTTATGAGATTATAAAAGTATTCGTTTCTATTCTAAGATATAATTGTAATTTTGTGGCGACTATATTAGACGACTTATATATATTATATAAGGATGTACAGAGCATATGTATTGTTTCGCGTTCAATATAGCGTATTACATAAATTATTCAACTGCCAAGTATTTCTGTAATTCAGTACATTTCTTATATCTTCTGTGAACGTAAGTGTCTCTTGTTTGCAAAAATATAAAAGATGAAAAAAGTATTTTATACGCGATAGGTAAACAATTTATGACATATCGTAAAAAAGTGTGATTGGAATGCAATACGTATGTCTTAAAAATCAACGAATGAAATGCAATGTAGATATTAGAAAGTGAGTGGCCGTTTGACGAAATTGTAGATTTTTAGCAGTCAAGTTTCAAATAATAATTTCATTTATTTCGCACAAACCTTTGCAAGTTTACTCCAGATATATATAACGATTACTACAGATTCTTTGAGGCGCTCTTACATTTCAAATGTTTATACTTGGCAGTATTTATTATAGAATTTTTAAGTGATTTATACAAAGCATTCGGTTCGTTACTCGTAGAGTCGAAAAACTTTTATATACGATCAGTCTTATTATGTATAGCTAGGATTAGTCGGTAATATATAGCATTACATAAAACTTATTTTATTAAAATCGAATATATTTTTCGAAGAAAGTATAAAGAAAATGAAAATTGCTATACATAATGTACTAAGAAGATGAGTTGGATAATGTGATGAACATATGCAATCCAAGACTAATGTTCTTAAAATGTTAGTAGATTTTAAGTTGAACGACGCACGTTAGTTCCTCTTCCTTTAAAGATAAAAGGATAATTATTTTAAAAATAGATTAATCAATCTTGCATATAAATCTTACAGTATTTTGACAGTTTATGCTCTTATAATGATTTATATTTTTAAGGCTATAGAAGATTTCGTTTTTACATACAGCAAGCATTCAAGCTTTGTGCGTTAGTATGAACGAACAAATTTTGTATTAGTTATTATATTCCTTATATTCACACAGAAATTTTGGTGCTACACGTAAATACAATTTGTTACTGAAAAACATAGTCTTGGTACTCTTTATAAAATGTATATGTAAATCTCTAGAAAAAGGAGTATTCGATCATTTGTTAATAGCTATGTACATAAGAATTTTTTTATTAAAAGGAGAAGGGTTGTTGCAGGAATAAAATTTGTTAATCAAAAAAATCAAGACATCTCTTTTGAAAATTCTACGTGTATTATGTTTTGTAGATATGTATTCTTTAATGGTGCTCTTTATTAACCGTAATAAAAACGACGATCAACAAATTATCATGTTTTTTAAATCAAAATAGTTATATTAGCATATGATGTACTCGTTCAGTGATGCTTAACACTTTGTAATTTATTCAGACTGAACTGCAACATGAAAATATTAGATATATGAAAAAAGGTTACACTCATTAAACAGTACTACTCTATATAGGTGCGTTCTTCTTATATATGTAAAAAATAAAATCTTTTAACATTTATAACAATTAACAAATGTATTTACCAAATTAGTACGAACAATCAATTTTCCATAAAGCTCTTTTATCGCTATAAAGAAATATCTATAATCTCTAATCTCTAAGGAAAATCTTATTCTAAACGCAAGTTTATATGTAAAGAAAGAATTTTTTTATGTATACAATATTTCTATACAAATAGTGATTCTTCAGTTACATTTTTCCCTTAAGCAATCTTCATCATAAAATGGGCTATTGAGCACATTATCTCCTTAAAACTTGAAAAATATATAAATATTAAAAATATAGCTTTCTTTAAAGCATATAAGGCAGTGGATTGATCGTATTACTACGATTGAAAGAGGAATTTTCAGTATCACAGTTCTCAGATAGAAGAAGATCCGTTAATACTCGTATGTGGGGGACAGCCAAATTTGGGATCCAGTAAGGGCGATGATTCTGATAATCGGGTATTTTTGTCTCCTTTCCCTAACTTCTGACAGCATTCCAATCGAAACTTTTCTCTCTTACTCCATCTTTTGTAAACAAGAGCATTGAAGAAAGCTTGAAGGGGATTTGTTACAGCCTGTCAATAAAATATTCTCATGAGTTGAACTTGTCACATTGGCCTTAAAAAATATACGTACCATTATGTACCAAAGAGTAATGATAATTTTGACTGGTAGCTGGAACCATAAAGTCCATAACAAAATCCCGTTAATTAAATTCGGTAACCAGCATACATAATAAACAAAATTAGTCAATGCAAATTTGAGCTTTATCGCTTGCACCAATTTCCTTTCTCTACTTGTTATTTGTGCCAAACTACAAGTGACAGCAGTTTGAAGATCTCGCGTCGACGCGAAATATAACACAGGATTGACTATCATGACCGCTGCTAATAGCACATAAGTAGCACAATAGTTTGGCAGAATACGTAATGTAACAGTGGATAATGATGTCAAATTATGACAACTGGGAAAAGAAAAGTGTCGTGATACTTTAAAGAAGTAACAATGGGTAACATTGTGGCATGCCATTAAATCGAAACAAAAACTAACTTTGCATCTGGTATATATAAGATTGTTAAGCCGAATGTAGTCAAAATTGCTGGACATATCCATGCAAAGGCATGGTAACAAGTAGAATGTCCAGATCTGTCTCCTAGTAACAGTTTCATGTCAATGGCGTAGCAAAGAGTCCAGATCCATGTTGCCATATAAAAATACTGTATCCAAGCCTGGTAATTTTTTTTTTTGATATTAATATGACAAAAGATTGAAACGAATACAGGTTACTAATGCGGTGAATTTTATAATACAATTATTTTACCGACAAAAGTGCACAAAAGACAACGCTTGATGTATCATCTTGCATTGGCATTATGGATTTAAAATTCATCCATATCGCCGATCTAATAAATACACCTAGTAAAAAATTCAAATTGAGAGGAGAAAAGTGACTTTCTTTGTTTTTTATCTATTTCATATTTTTTCAGTATTAGAAAACAAATGTAATTACCTAATGAGGCTAAGAGGTCTGCAATTGCAAGCCATACGATGATCTCTCTTCCTCTAGATACAGATAAGCTTTGCCACCTATGAGAATGACTAGATGTTTCTCTTGGAAGTATCTACAAAGCAATTTCATCAGTGATTTATAAGATTTTATTAAAAGATTTCCCTTACCTGATACATCGCACCTAGAATACCTATAGAAGAAGAGATCATACAAACAGTATTGTACAAATCTGTATTGAATTCTTGCATTATTACAATTGCCATATCTGTACTGTTAGAATGATGACAACAGAATGTTTGTATCGTTGGATCAGCCATGATCTATTTGATATTGATTTCTTTCTTCTTCATCAACTAAATATACATATATGTATATACACACGATAAGAAATAATTAAATATTCGATAAGACACCAGTCATTTCGTAACTTGATCTATGTATTAAATGCATGGAATATGGATGGAACGATTTATGATTAGCCGAAAGACACCTTTTCAAAAAATCTTTTCGAGGAATCAATAAGAATGCGTTCATTTTTATGTTAAAACGAAGCCGTACGAGATTTCCGATACGTTCGTCTGCACGCCATATTTAACACTTTATTCGTTTCGAACAGAAGATAATTATGCATATACCTTCTGCGGATAATACAGACTTCTAGCGATAATCGTTATTCAAATAATACAATTTAACGTACTCTTAATCTTCTTACCTTTTTAAACGACTGGAATCCATTTGTTGCTTGTAATTAAGTTCAACGTTAATCCTTCAAATATTTTATTACCACTGTAAGTAAATATATCGAGATACGGAGGAAAAAAGAAAAAAGTCTCGATTACATATACTTTTGTTATTACTGATTATTACCGAATACACATTTAATATTCAATTATGTTTCTAACGAACTATTCATATTTATTACAGAAATATCACGCTTCGACTGCGCTTTCCTACTCCTGCTTTTTGTCATGTTTTTTCCATTTAGAAGCTCTTGCTTCCGGATATTTTTCAGCGAGAAAACTACACACGTCGCCATATTCAGCTTTTAATCTGATTACAACCTGATCCTGATCCCTGTGACGTTCTTGTTTACGTAAATGAAATAACCACGAAGGCAATTTCGTGAAAAATGGTTCAGGCTTTTTTTTCTGCAAACGAACTCTTCCATTCATTACGTACTGTTTAAAATTTAAAATTTCGTCTGGTGGAATTTCTTTGGAGGTTCGAACTATCGATGGCGAAGCAAGTACAGTAGGAAAATAATTATTTTCTTTCCTCATTTCGACCACATGCAATTTTTTCTCATTTGCTATTTCTTCGTATGTTTTCTAAAAATATCGTTAATAATATTATTATCAATATACCGCAAAGTTGCATATAATGTGAAAAGTACCGTTCTTCTTTGCTACCACTTAATATAGTTTCGATCGGTGTACCTGTTGCAGTAAGCCAATAAAGAAGGCTTTTACGATGTACGCCACGTTTGTAGATCCTTCGACTTTAGCGTACAAATCTTTGATTCCAATTGCTTCGCAACATGTTTTAATAACACGATGACATTTCAGTCCGTAACCCTTCTGTTTTTGTTGTACGAATATTTTCGTTTTTGCAAATTGTCCAAAAAAGTCATGGAGTACTGGGACAAAAGGTATTATAATTTTACATAGTTATAGAGCTAATAATAGACAACAAAAGACACAAGAAGTTCGTTTACCAGTATGTTCGTTATATCTTTCGAAGTATATCAATCTACGTCCTGCCCTGTTTTTAGCTGTATTTATGGCCGATTTAAATTCATGTCCTGTTACCTGTGAGAATCCAGCCAAGCCTTTTCCATTTCCAGTAACGACTATAACGCTACAACGTTTCGATCTACCCATAGTACTCGTCATGATAGATGAATTTTTGGCAGATAATATCCAAGATTCGAATCCGTGGAAAACATCTGAATCGGTAAAAATTTCACTTATAATTTATATGTGTATATATATAGATATATACGTATATATGTATCGAACAATTATATCACAAACCGTCGTCAACAGGATCGGGTGGTCCAAGTTTCCTCCCACCAGGTTGACCTCCGGACCAACCTCGTTCTAAAGAGTGAAGTTTGAGTCGTTTTGGTTTGGACGCGGTAACAGTTTTCGCAGTATTGAGATTTTCTGTTTCTTGCGCCGTAAGAAGTCTTTGTTGATTTATATGTTCTCCGTGCGTAACAGGGGCATTCAGTCCAGGAAATACGAATGGTATTTTTCCACAACCCAATCTTTGACCACGATTTAAATCTCTGGGCCTCGCAAGACCTTTCCCTCTTCCTCTTCTTCTACCGGCATTACTAACGCTTGTAACAGATTTCCATAATTTCGTAGCTGATCCTAAACACAGGTGATATTTCCAGATTATCAGCGCTCGAGCAGAACCTAACAAATGTTTCTGAAAGTGTGTCGACGAAACTTACTTACTTTTCATATAAAAGTTAGTATTCCTTGCATGTTGCAATAATAAAACCTGCGGTGTCAATAAACCAATGGTGGTAGCTGAAAATAATTTGTAAATGAAACTGTGTTGTCGATTCAAAGTTAAAGAGTTAAGAAAATTATATAGGATATAGTTTGGTTACACGTTTTAGGTTATATAAGCAAAAACAAACAGCAGTTATAAATAAAATTTTGTAGAAAAGCGATATGTGAGAAATATTTTATGTAAATTACCATCTCTCGCAACGTTGATATTTTTTAAACAGTTTGTAATTGCTTTAGAAGCATGGTATACCCATTTTGCCATTTTAGCCTTATCGGTGTGAAGTTTCTAAAGAGATTTTCTTCCTGAGAGGAACACGATAATTGAGAAAGTGGACGACGGATGTCGCTTAATGTCGTATGCTGATGGAACGTTTCTTTCACGTATTACGTATTGACGTAAGTGCAGACGGAGAGAGTGCATCTCGTCCGTGTATATGTATTACGAAAGGATAATTTTGTTATGGAAAAGCTGAAAAAGTAAAAATCTAGTCAAATACCGATGTAAGATTAAAAAATCCCAACGACTTACTCAAAATAAATATTTCAACGTTTCGATATTAACGAATCGTTTTAGAAGTTGAGCTTTTCGATGAAATATCGAAATTGTACGCGTAGTATAAGCTAGAATCGGGCATGCTAGTCTCGTTGCGTTTCATTAAAGGAATACGAAGAACCGTGTTAAAAAGAAATTTCATCTATTTCTGTATAAAAAAGAAAAACTGTAAATACGAGAGGAACGCACAGCTAGCGACACGTTGCATCGTGGTAGCAAAGCATCGAACGACGTCGATCGGTTAGACAGTCGCGTACCGTCGCTGTTCTCGATAAGGGTGGTCGGTAAAATCGCGGTAGGCACCCTGCGAAGAAAAATTCGACAAAATGCATAGCAGAGTGCGGTGAAATTTTTCCAAGGACAATGCCAGACGTAGAACGCTAGAAAGGGACAGAACTAGATAGGTAATTGGAGAAAGAGGGATAGAAAGAGAAGCGAGAAAGGTGGGCTGTCCCGAGGCTGGTGGCCATGAGACGGTAGTAGATTAGGTAGACGAGGTGGTTCCTGGCTGGGATGTCAGGGATCAGAGGCGCGATAGGCGGACGTATAACGGAAGATCCATAGGTCTGACCAACGGCGTAACGGCGAGCAGCGCGGGACAACCCCGAGCAAGAGTGGAACCGCGCGGAAAGCGATCCAATGGAATCGCATGGGCGCGTTGATTGGCGGGGTTCCTCCAATGACGGGATGGTTAGGGTGCCGGGTTTGGCTCGGAGGTCGGTTAGATAGCCCCGCAAACCCCTCTAGAGGAAGGCGAGTGGGAGCCCTTCTCTCACACGCAAAAGGGGACATCTCATCACGACTCTTG